CAAACCTGGTCCACCCCCTTTTTTTTCCAAATGATTTTGAGTTTTGTTCCACATTGTTCTCCCTCTCCATCAAGGATCTCCTCCATAGGTCCCCCTCTGAGTGGTTGACAGTGGTAGCTGGGCACCATCTAGTTCTTCTGGTCTCATAGTCATATAGGCTGGTGATTGCATGGTGTGCCAGTTGCTTGGACTAATTGTTTCCATGTGTCTTTGGTTTTCTTCATTCTTCTTGAGCACCGTGCTCTCCTGAGGAACCATCTGTAAGGGACTAAGCTGACAGCAGCAGCTTGAATGATTAGATAGGAAACTCAGGGGACTGCGGGGGAGGAACCGCTTGGAAAGAGGGGTGAGCGTGGCGGCACTCTCGAGGAATGCCATCTGTGTCATTTACCTACGTGGAGAAACCGTTGAATTTGTGTATGTTCTGCTGTGTACAGCTTCAAAAACGAGAAGAAACAAATTATTAAAAAGCAAACAAACTGACATCTACTGATTTGTGCTAATGATCTGCACTTACCTACTAACCTACAGGTTGGTGGTTCCAATCCACCCAGGAGTGCTGTGGAAGAAAGACCTGGCAACCTGCTCCGGAAAAGTCAGCCACTGAGAACCCTGTGGGCCCAGTGCCCCTCTGACACACGTGGGTCCCTGTGCATCGAGGGTGACGTGCCAGCAGTGAGCCTGGTTTGGTTTAGGGGTACCCTTTGCTCACTTGAAGGAAGTCCTAGGAGCCCCTGGGGGATGTAACAGCTGATGGGGGGCAGGGAGCACCCACCAGAGAACATACCTGATTTTAACTCTCTTTCTGTAAGTGGCTCCTTCTGGCTTCCTGCAGCGAAAGGGAGAAGAGGTGAGCTTGTTCCACGAATGGCGACATTCTTTTGAGAACAAAGGTTGCTGGCAGGTGGCGGAACACAGCACAGGGCTTTGCCCACCACCACCAGAACCACTTATGTCCTAACTCAAATCATTAACGTGAAATTAAAGGAAACCTCCCATTCCTCAGTCGCACGGGTCGCGAGTCGATGGCTCAGTAGCCCCATGGGGCTGGTGGCCACCATTGGACAGCAGAGCGAGGGAACATTTCATCATCACAGGAAGTTCCAAGAGACAGCACTGGGGTCATGGTTAGAGACCTGAAGTCTAGTGTCAGGGTTGGTGGGGAGGGAACCACAGGGGTCCCGAACGGCAAAGTCAAGGTGAAAAATAGCTAAAATCTCATCTTCAGGTTGCAACTCACTGGGTCATAGGCTTTTCAAGCACAGTGTTTACTATACCAGGGTCTGCAAACTATGGCCCTGAGCCAAAAATCCAGCCCTCTGTGTTTTTGTTTAAATAAAAGTTTTATTCGCACACAGGCATGCCCCATTTGCCTGCTGCAACAGCAGAATCGAGTTGTCATGACAGAGACCCAGTCTGGCCCACAAACTGAAAATACTTACTCTCTGACCCTTGATGGGAAAAGGTGGTTAATGACAACAAAATTTAACACAACTTCAAGCCAGAGTGACGCCGCCGCGACGTCCCAGGCTCCGGTGCCCGGCACCTCCTGAGCCTTCTGGTCTCGCTCTCCACTCACCCACGAGCTCGGCGGACACGATGGTGCCGTAGGCGGCGAGCGGAATGCCGCGGTCCCCGAGCCTGGCGCGAAGCCCCTGCTGCAAGAGCCCCTCCTCCAGGCCCAGGCTCAGCGTCTGGGGGGCTCGCAGCAGGAAGCGCAGCTGGAACCGCACCAGGACGCTGGCGTTGCCGTCCCTGCAGGTGGGAGAGGGCCTTGCAGAGAGGCGCCTCCTGCCGGAGGCGCGCACGTGCCCGCCGAGGGCCCGCCCCGAGCGGGCGCCGCTCACCTGTAGCGCAGCACCGCGCAGCTCCTGCAGCTGCTCTCCAGCTCCGTCTTCTGGAAGCTGCTTACAAACTGCAACGAAGTAACAGCGCCGCGTGGGGACTCGTGGCACGTGACGCTGGTCCCCACCGAGCCCTGCCCTGTGTTTGCGGGAGCGGCGGTATGCAGACAGAAAATCCCCTCTCTGTGTTTACGGTGGGAAAATGGCGTCACCTGGCGCTTGCCACTCTGACCGTTTTTAAGCCTCCAATTGTGTGCGGTTAATTACATTCGCCGTGTTGGACCACCAGCGCCGCTCTCCAGTTGTAGAACATCCCGTCAGCCAGAAAGAAACCCCGTGCCCGTCGGCAGTCGTCCCCACCCTCCCCTCCCCCAGCCCTGCCACCGCTAAGCCGCCCTCGGTCTCTGTCTATGTGGACATCTCATATCGATGGAGTGAGACATGGCCTCAGGTGTACGGCCTCTCTCACGGGGCATCATGTTGTCAAGGTTCATCCAAGTGGCATGTGTCAGAACTGACCTTTCGATTAGTAGCCGAGTGCTTAACCACTGTGCCACCAGGGCTCCTTTTTATTGTGGTGGGATGGTTGGTGTTGCTGTTAGGTGCCGGCGAGTCACCTCTGACTCACAGCGACCCCATGTACGACAGAACGAAACGCTGCCCGGTCCCGTGCCAGCCTCGCGATCCCTGCTACACCTGAGCCCATCGTTGCCCCACCGTGTCAGTCCATCTCGCTGAGGGCCTTCCCCTCTTTCACTGACCCTCCACTTTACCACGCACGATGTCCTTCTCCAGGGAATGGTTCCTTCTGACAAGATGACCAGAGTAGGTGAGACCAAGTCTGGCCATTCTAGCTTCCAAGGAGCATTCTGGCTGCCCTTCCTCCAGGATGGATGTGTTACTTCTTCTGGCGGCCCGTGGACCTTTCAGCATCCTCCCCAGCACCACACTGACCACTTTCACATGTGAACCCAGCATCATCACTGACATTCATTGTGTTGCACCACTACTCATGTCCACACTTGTCTGTCACCCAAACGGGAAGCTCATACCTATTCAGTAATAGCCCCTTATTTCCTTCCTCCCAGCCCCTCCCCCAAACACCCACTGCCCTCGAGTTTATTCCAACTCATAGCGAGCCCCATTGGGTTTCCAGGGCCGTAAACCTTTGTGGAAGCAGACAGTCTCATATTTCTTCTGCAGGGTAGTTGGTGGGTTCGAACACTGACTTTTTGGTTAGCAGCCCAACGCCTCCATCACTGCACCACCAGCACTTCCTCCTCCCAGCTCCTAGTAACCGCTAATCTGTTTTGGTCTCCCTGCATTCGCCTCTTCCAGGTATTTCACAGACATGAGCTCAGACGATACTGATCTTTTGTGTCTGGCTTCTCTCACTGAGGATAGTGTCTTCAAGGTTCCCCCCTGCAGGGGCATGCGTCAGGACCCATTTTTCCTGATGGCTGACACCCCCATCCATGGTGTTGATGGACCACATTTGGGTCCTCCAGCGCCTGTGGGTGGACACTTGGGTTGTTTCTGCCTTTTGGCTGTTGTGAACTGTGCTGCGGGGAACACTGGTGAGCAAGTACCCGTTGGAGTCCCTGTTCTCCGCTCTTTTTGGGTAACGACCTAGGAGCAGAATTGCTGGGTCACATGGCGGTTCTGTGTTTAAATCTCGGGGAGCTGGCAGACTGTCTCAGCAGCTGCACCGGTGTGCATTCCCGCCAGCAGTGTATCGTAAGAAGGCTCTGATTTCTCCGTGAGAATCCTGTTATAAGCCTTTAAACGCAGTCCACAGAGCTCTGATGGCATAGTGGTTAAGGGCTGAGCTGCTAACCGAGAGGTCAGTGGTTCAAACCCCGCCTCCACAGTCCCACAGGAGACGGGATCTGGCGACCCCCTGTAGAGATGATACCTCAGGAAACCTGATGGGCACCTGTACTCTGTCGCGTGGGGTCACGTTGGATTGACTGGAGGCAGCCGGCAACACCCTGGTCCACGAGACGGCAGGAGTCGGCCCTCGCAGCCTACAGCTCTCCTTTGGGCACCCTCGGTTCTGGCTGCATCAGCCGCACCTCGTCCCTGCAATGTGCCCAGCCTTCCTGCCTGCGCTGGTTAACGCTTTCTGTCAGCCAGGCTACGGTTCTCAGTGGACTGGGAGACGCTGCATGTGGCAGTTACGTGTCAGCTTGGCTGGGCCTGGTTTTGAGTGGCTGGGCAGCTGGGTGTAGTTGTTCCCCATCCGCTCCATGGTGGGATCTACTGGAGCAGCTGAGTAGCTGCCTTTGGGCTGGGGTCGCTTCCTGTGTGTAAGGAGTCTGGAGAAGGGTCTCTGAGCTTTCTGGCACTCTTAGACCCTGCGTGTAACCAGGTCTTCATTCAGCAGCCTGGTGCGTTTTCTGCCAGTCTTAGGATTATCCTTTGACTCAAACCAGTGGCCTGCCGTGTTGTTTGACAATATTGGGACTGTGCCATTTTATCTGTCAGCCTTGGGTTTGTCAGCTTTAGCAGCCAGCAGCTGCCTGAGTGAAAAGACGCCTCCAGCTCCAGTGGGTCGGGAGCAAGAGGCAGAGCTGAAGCCCAAGGTGGAGGGACCTTCACCCAGCCCCTAGAGCCTGGCACTTGGAACTCGGACTTCTGGCCTCCAAAAATTGTAAGAATAAACTCCTGTTTGTTAAAGCCATCCTATTTGTGGTATATATTCTTGTCACTAGTGGCAAGAGTGGTGCTAGGGAACCAGAACGCCTTCGAGTTTACCAAGAATGATGTCCTTCTCCAGGGACTGGTCCCTTCTGACAACGTGACGCAGTTGAGGGGCTGGAGGTTGGGATGCAGGGCGTGGGCTCCGGGGCAAGGTCTCTGAGGGCTCTGGGGCAGGTCCTAGCTCAGCTCATTCCTTGTCTTTTGGTGCTCTGCACGTGGCTTCTACCTGTCCCCGCTGGAGCTTGCCTGTGTCTGTGTCTCACCTGCCCTTTTGACATAGTGAACCTGCGAGAGCTGGAACTCTCTGGGCCTGCCTTGTTTTTCCAGGTCTCGCAGGTTTTCTACCTTGGACAGGGTGCAGCCTTCTCACTTTGTTCTCTCTCAGTTTAGTGGAAGCTCTCTGAGTCTCCCTTCTCTGACAGTGTTTGCCTGACACAGGCTCCGGCTGACTCAGGTTCTGCTGTAGGTCAAAGGTGACCAGGTGTGGACCCCTCTGCACCGATCGTGGCCTCACTGACGTAACAAAGATGACTCTGTCTCCAAATGGGGTCACAGCCACAGGGATGGGGGTTAGGATTCCAACATATAGTTTAGGGGGGACACAATTCAATCCATGGACCTCCTTGCTCCCAGGAGACCCCCCTGTGCCCCCAGACACAGGCTCCACTTACCAGTGTCTCCAGGGTGGGCGTCAGCGTCTGGTAATAGTCTGAGGCCTCCTGCCGCAGGCTGCTGGCGTAGGGGATCCCCCGTAGCTGCACCGTGTGCTCCACGTCCACGCCCCGGGCAGAGGGGAGGGCTGGGGCAACAGCACAGCCGTGAGAGCCTGGCCCTGGGGCTCTGGGTCAGGCTCAGCCTCCCAGGGACTGAAGGCCCGGCCCTTATGCCCCTGAACAAGCTGGGATGGTTGCCCCCACAGTGGGTTGACCTGATGTCGTGTCACTAGGTGGGACAGTCCCCACTTCACCTGTTGTCTTGAGTGATTATTAAAAGAACCTAGAAGTGTCCTATTTGGTGACAAACTCAATTGTCACCCACTGGAAGGCCCCCCCAAGTACAATGCAAGAGTGGTGTCTTAGTGACCTGGGGCTGCCGGGACAGATACCACAAGCAGGTGGCTTGAAGGGACGGCAGTTTATTTCCTCACAGTTCAGAAAGCCAGGTACCCGGGAAGGGAGAGTGGGGACAGTGTGACAATGGGCAGTCGGCCGTCAGGTCTGAGTTGTAGTTGCGGAAGCTGATGACCCAGTGTGTGCTCGGCTGGGGATGTTTTTAACAACAAAAAAGAAATCATTTTTAAAAATGGAAATAATAAAGGTTGGCCCAACTAATAGTTTTTCTTATGGAAATCACTTAGCATAGAAAGCTTGGAAAAGGGGAAGGGAGGAATCTCACTTTTAAAACCGAAGCTTAATGCCTTATCTAATTAATTATATTCAATAGGAATTTTACAGAGCAAAAGGATTATTTTTCTTGACAATATTCCATGAATTGTTTCTATACCCGGTTAATAAGAGAGCCATAAAAGGAAAAAAAAAAAAAAAAGACTTAGATTTTTTCTAGTTCCAGGAAATGAAATAACTAAAAAAAGAAAAGAAAAACAAGCCCAGCTGCCTCCAGCTCATGGGGTCTGCACGTGTGTCAGAGTCAGACCGTACGTCCCTGGGTTGTTAACAGCTCATGTTTGGAAAGTGGGGCTCCAGGACTTTCCTCCATGGCACCTCCAGCTGGATGTCTCTGGGTGGACTTGAACCACCAACCTTTTGGTTAGTAGCCAAGGACATTAATCATTTGCACCACCTAGGGCCCAAGGCACTTGACTGCTAACCAGGAGGCTGGTGGTTCAAACCCACCAGCCACTCCTCAGCAGGAAAGTTGGACAATCTACTTCCGTAGTGATACCGCCTTGGAAACCCAAGGAGGGGTCGCTATGAGTCAGATCAACTCAGTGGCAATGAATTTTTTTTTTTTTTTTTTAAAGGGATTCCTCACACAGATATGCCAGTTGCCATGGAGTGATTCTGACTCATAGAGACTCTGTAGGACACGGTGGAGCTGCCCGATAGATCGGGTTTCTAAGCTATAAATCTTTACAGAAGCAGAGTGCCAGGTCTTTCCCCTGCACAGCAGCTGGTGGGTTCAAACTGGCGACCCTTCAGTTAGCAGCTGAGTGCTGACCCACTGTGCCACCAGGACTCCTTCACACAGGCAGAGGGGATGGGGTTTCAAAACATGTTTTGGAGATACGGTTCAATCCATAGCAGCTGGCAGGCACCCCAGAATCTCCCTGAGGGTGGAGGAATCTAGCTCACCCTTGTCTCCCCGCAGAAACTGGCCCGGCCAGAAGCAGGCTGCAGTTGTTGAAGTAAATGGTCCCACATCCTTGGGACTGCAATTCCCACCTCCTCCACCAGGGGGCGCCAACTACAGTAGGGACAAAGCATCAGGAGTCCTGAACTACACCTCGTAACCTAACTGCCTGTCAGAAAAACTGGGTCCAAAGGACATAACAGCAAAAAAAAATAATAATCATAACATTTGAAAAATAAAGAATACAATTTGCTCTTTGCCGGCAAGTCAATTCCAGTTCACGCTGCCCCTGTCTCTGTTAGGACAGAATTGCAGCCCATGGGGTTTTCAGTGGCTGAGGCCCTACAGAAGAACTAGCAGCCCTATAACCAGGAAGCACGGGTTTCTCACTGTCTGCAGCCTGTCGGCACTGACACACACACTCGTGCACAAGCGTAAACGATGCGCCCTGAACGCAGCACCACCTGCCCTATGAGAGCAGGGCCGAGTACCGCTGCCGTGTCAGCCCAAGACTCTGCAGGACCCAAGAGTCTCAAAATAAAGAAAAATGAGCCTCCTGTGGTAAACCAGGTGGCCCAAGCGCTCAGCAGCTTTTTAACTCCATTTAATGATTATCGATTCTCAGGAGGTTGCAGGGACACTGCAGAGAGGCCCCCTGTGCTTCCCACCCACCTGCTCCCAACGCGGCCTGACCTCCCAGGCACCCCCTGCTGGATCTTTAAACTCTTGTTTGCGAGGGACTGAAGTTGAAGTGCTGCTTAAAGAGATAGCATATGATCAAGAACCGATAGCACTGAAAGGAGAAGTCCAAGCTGCACTGAAGGAATTGGCGAAGAACAAGGCTCCAGGAATTGAGGGAATATCCATTGAGATGTTTCAACAAATGGATGCCCCATTGGAGGCACTCACTCAGTTATGCCAAGAGATCTGGAAGACAGCTACCTGGCCAACTGACTGGAAGAGATCCATATTTGTACCCATTCCAAAGAAAGGTGATCCCACAGAAAGTGGAAATTATAGAACAATATCATTAATATTGCATGCAAGTAAAACTTTGCTAAAGATAATTTAAAAATGGTTGCCGCAGTATATTGACATGGAAATTCCAGAAATGCAAGCTGGCATCAGAAGAGGATGTGGAACAAGGGATATCATCACTGATGTCAGATGGGTCTTGGCTGAAAGCAGGGAATACCAGGAAGATACTGTCTTCTAGCTGTGGTCTTGGTGACTCCCGTCAGATGACTGGGTGTTTGTCGGCCACCAAGGGGATTAGACAGCTTGTTAGTAATGTAAATAAGGTACATGGCCCTTGTGGGGGCGGGCCACGGGAATAAGGTGTACGGAACCCTGATGTTGGGATTGGTCAGTTTTGTAATTCTGCTAGGCTTAATATGAGCCCTTCCAGAGACAGAGGGGGGACCTCGGTGCCATCAAGAGAGAAGAGCCAGAGGTGGGGTGTAGTGTGTTCTTAGACCTGAGATCCCTGCACTGGACCTCCCTGGCAGAATCGCCCAGGCAGAGAGTCAGCAGTGAGATGGCGTCAGTAGAACCAAGAGGCACGAGACAGAGCGGTGGCTTGCCAGCCCACAGAGTGAGAAAGCTGAGTGTCTTTGGGCAGGAGGCTTGCTGGAGGCATGGGGTACATGTACGTGCCCCCGATCAGCAGAACTAAAAGAGTTTAGGAGCACTTGCCCAAGCGGGGCAGAGGGCAGGCCGAGAGGCCAAGGGACAAGGAGAGGCGTGCCTGAGGGCATGGCTGAGGGGAGGCTGTCCTGATGGAAGAATTGTATCCTGAGCGCATTCCTGAACCTGAATTATAGCTTGTTACTTCTCTAATTAACCCCATAATTGAGTGTTGTCTGTGAGTTCTGTGTGGCCACTGCAAAGAAGGATCAAACCCAGCAGAGTGGTTAGTGCCGTGGGAGGGAGGGTTGGGTATGGCCTCATTGGAACAAGCCTTGTGCTGCTGGTGGTGACTCTGTCTCTCTCTTGTGAAGTCAGAGGAGGTCAGAGGATGCTGCCCCCATGTCCTTTTAGCAGATGTTTCCCTGTGTCGTATTGCCTGTGCAAAGGAATTCAATTCTGTGGATCATAGCAAATTATGGGTAACACTGAGAAGAATGGGGATTCCAGAACACTTCACTGTGCTCATGAGGAACCTGTACGTAGACCAAGAGGTTCAAATAGAGTAAGGTTATACTGCATGGTTTAGAATTGGGACAGGTGTGCATCACAGTTGTGTCCTTTCACCACACTTGCTCAATCTGTGTGCTGAGCAAACAATCTGAGAAGCTGGACTGTGTGAAGAAGAACATGGCATCAGGATTGGAGGAAGACATTAACAACCTACGATATGCAGATGATACAACCTTGTTTGCTGAAAGTGAGGACGATTTGAGGCACTTACTGATGAAGATTGAAGACTATAGTCTGCAGTATGGATTACACCTCAACAGAAAGAAAACAAAAATCCTCACAACGGGACCAATAAGCAGCATCAGGATAAGCGGAGAAAAGATGGAAGTAGTCAGGGATTTCATTTTACTTGGCTCCACAATCAATGCCCATGGAAGCAGCACTCAGGACATCAGACGACGTAGTGCACTGGCAAGTCTGCGGCAAAAGACCTCTTTCAAGTGCTGAAGAGCAAAGATGTCTCTTTGAAGACTAAGGTGCGCCTGACCCAAGCCATGGTATTTTCAATTGTCTCAAATGCATGTGAAAGCTGCTCAATGAATAAAGGAGACTGCAAAAGAATTGATGCCTTTGGGTTGTGATGTTGGCGAAGAATACTGAACGTACCACGGACCACCAGAAGAACAAACAAATTCGTCCCTGAAGAAGTGCGGCTGGAATGTTCCTTGGACGTGAGCATGGCCAGACTTCATCTCACCTGCTTTGGTCACGCTGTCAGAAGGGACCATTCCCTGGAGAAGGATGTCATGCTTGGTAAAGGGGAGGGTCAGTGAAAAAGCAGAAGGCCCTTAACAAGATGGATTGACACAGTGGCTGCAAGGATGGGCCCAGGTACAGTGAAGGTTGTGAGGCCGGTGCGGGACCCAGCAGTGTCCGTTCTGTTGTCCATGGGGTTGCTGAGTGGGAGCTGACTTGACGGCCCAACAACAACGGTTTTCAAAAGGTACCTGCACTTCTAGAGTGCCGGCGTGAGCCTCTGCCCCTCGACCCTCACTGCTCACACACACACACATACCCCCCGCGCGGAGCCCCAGTTGAACTGCATTTCATCTCACAGCCACTAGGGGGCATCAGTCAAATGTGCCAAACTTTGGGATACGGCGAGATTCCAAACTAACTCCAGACAAATAATAAACAGGACCCACGTGGCGTTGGCAGCTCATTCTTTTACCTAAGGGGGGCATTTTCCCCAAGCTGCCACCTGTCATCATCATTTCATAAGAGAAAGGCGATCTGAACACCACAAATAAGACTGTAGGAGGCAGCTCCTCTCAGAAGTCCGTCCCAGAGCACTGCCGTCTGCAACTTTCTACGACGTTTCTAGGATGTTCCAGACCCTTGCCGCCCAGTCAGCAGCCTTGGTGCCTGTTGGCCCCTTGGAATGCCACTGCTGGGACTGAGGAAGGGAATTTTACATTTTATTTCATTTTAATTGATTTACATTTGAATAGTCATCTTGACTGCTAACCAGAAGGCTGGCGGTTCAAACCCACCAGCCACTCCTCAGAAGGAAGACTGGGCAATCTAATTCCATAGAGATACCGCCTTAGAAACCCAAGGAGGGGTCGCTAGGAGTCGGAATCGACTCCACAGCAGTGAGTTTGGTTTGTTTTTTCGGTGAGTTGTTTGGCTTAGTGCCACTATCTTGGACAGCCTGGTGGGGGAGCAAAGCTGGGGTATGCACAGAGAGTTCACCGCCGCACTGTGGAGAAGGTTTGAAAATGCCAGCCCCTCACAGCCTACAAGTCTGGTGTGGGTTCACTGTCACCCAAGAGGGGCTGCTCAAGCCCCAAAGCATGGCAGCCGTGCATGGGACCTTGTTTGGAAACACAGTCTGCTTGGGTGTAGTTGGTTATCACGAGGTCCTCCTGGAGAAGGGTTCTCATCCAACCTGACCAGTGTCCTTACCAAGGAGAGAGACAGACAGAGACCTGGGGGAAGGCAGCGAGTCACGTGAACATCCACCTACAAGCCAAGGCCCACCTGGGCCACCGGAAGCTGGAAGACACAGGAAAGACCCCTCCAGAGCCTACAGAGAAAGCCAGGCTCCCCTGGCTTCATGCTTCCGGCCTCTGGAACGGGGAGGTGACACACGTGTCCATAAAGCCACGCACGCTGTGTTTGGTTATGCAAGCAGTGGGGATGCAGACGCAGGACTGAGCTGACTGGAAGAGGAGGGAGGGAGTTCCTGGGTTGATGGCGGGTGTAGACGCAGAGTTGATACCGGAACAGGTTAAGACTTTGGAGGGTGTTGGGATGAGTAGATGCATTTTTGACGTGGGCTGCCAGGGGGCAAACTGTGGCCGGTTGAATTGTGTCCACCCAAAAGATACACTGAAGTCCTCGCCTAAACCCCAGTCCTTCTGAACATGACCTTCCTTGGGAACAGCTTCGTTGCAGATATTATTGGTTAACATGAGGTCATGCTGGAGCCCCAAGGGTCCTGAGGCACTAGGCTTGGTGTCCTTAGAAGAAGGGACGGAGAGACAGAGGAGAGAGGGACGCAGAGGAAGAGGCCAGGGGAGGGCAGGGTGGAGAATGGAGTGATGGGGCCACGAGCCACGGGCGCCTGGGGCCAGCAGAAGCTGAAAGGGACAAGGAAGTATCTGAGCCCCTTCCGAGGGAATGTGGCCCTGCTGACAGCCTGGATTTGACACCCGTGGCCTCCAGGACTTCGGGAGAATCCATTTGTGCTTTAAGCCTCCCACTTTGTGATACTTTACCATGGTGGTTCTAGAAAACCAATCCCGTCCCATCTGTCCACCTGGCCATCCTACCACGACCATTGCCCGCATGTATTCAGTGGCCTGAAGGTCAACCTTCATTTATTTCCAAGCCTGGACACCTGAGCCCTTTGACTCTGAGAAAATCACGGAAACGCCACTGAGGCACGTCCCAGCGTCTTCGCAGTCATCCTGGTTGCAACCACTTACCCAGAAGGACTCCCAGGGAGACAACGAAGACGCTTGTGGCCACCACCACGGTGACGGTGGCGCGACAGCACGCGGCGTCCAGGGTGGGGGGCTTCTTTGTTGCATTGGGCACGAGCTGGACGTCATCAACAGTGGGCTCCATGGCTCTGCAGCCCGAGACCAGCAATCTGGAGGCCAGCACAATAAAGGGAGAGAAGAACAGGGTCAGAACTCACACGCGCCTCTCTTCCACTAAGCGAGGGTCTTCCTTGTGCAGACGTGGCAGCGCTCAGCGCCAGCGGAACCCACTGGAGTGAGAATGAGAAGTGGACCCCGCGCTATTGGTGGCTGGGCTGGGCGCAGCCTCCATGGCTGTTCTTGCAAAGACGACAGCCAGGAAAAGTCTATGGGGATTTCTGTCACACGGGCACCTTATAAGTGGGAGCTGACTCGGTGACACCTAATCACGCCAACAGCACAAGGGAGGCCCACCCTCCGTGAGGCTGCCGCTGGTTGATTTTAGGATGCAATCGCCAGGCCTTTCTGCCTCATCTGTCTGAGTCTGGAAGCTCTGCTGAGACCTGTCAATCAGAGGTGACCCTGGTGGTATTTGAAATACCTGTGGCCTGGCTCCCAGCATCACAGCAACACGTAGGCCACTGCAGAACGACACATCACCAATGAGCACAAAGATGGTAGGGGCACGGGGTGATGTTTGGTCACATGCAAACAGACTTTGAGTCAGCACTGAGTCAATTGCGGTGAACAATAGCAACGCCCCAGATGCGTGGCTTCGTGGGAGTCTGCTCAAGAGTCTTTGGAACATGTTGTGTGGTTTGTTTGTTGTTGTTGTTAGGTGCCGCCAAGTCGGCTCTGACTCCCAGCAACCCTGCAGACAACAGAATAAGACGCTGCCCAGGCCTGCGCCAGCCTCACAGTCCTTGGTATATGTGAGCCCATTGTCACTGCCACTGTGTCAGTCCATCTCATTGAGGGCCTTCCCCTCTTTCGTCAACCCTCCACCTTACCAAGCATGACATCCTTCTCCAGCGAATGGTCCCTTCTGACAACTTGACCAAAGCCGGTGAGACGAATCTGGCCATTCTCGTTTCCAAGGAGCATTCCGGCTGCACTTCCTCCAGGACAGACCTGTTCGCTCTTCTGGCGGTCCCTGTTGTTGCTGTTAGCTGTCCTTGAGTCGGCCCCCAGCTCAGGTGACCCTGTGCACCGTGGCGTCAGAGCCCTGTGACCCCAGGGCTTTCCCGGCCTGATTTCTGAAGTGTTTCACCAGGCCTTTCTTCCTGCTCTCAGTCTGGGAACTGCTGCACCCTCCTGGCATGGGCAGTGGCTGCCCTGCAGGTGCACTGGCTGGGACTCGAACCCTGGTCCCCTGTGTGGAAGGCACGAATTCTACCACTGAACCAGCACTGCGTCCTCTTCGGGACACCCTTACGCTAACCTTTTCTAGTGTCATTGTGTCCCACACAATATTTGGGACATAGACCAGCAGTAACCAGTTGCCGTGGAGCTGATCTGACTCACGGTGACCCTGTGTGGGTCAGAGTAGACCTGGGCTCTGCAGGGTCTTCAGTGACTGTTTCTCAGAAGTGGGTGGCCAGGACTTTCTTGGGAGGCAAGTCTGGTTGGACTCGAACCTCTAGCCTTCGGGGAGCAGCCGTGCACACCAACGTTTGTATGAACCAGGGCTTCCGTCTGGGGCACATTCAGAAAGGGATTTGCCGTGTATCTGAATGTGGATTCGGCTGCATGCAATAAGCAACATGCTGATTGTGGAGTCTGGCAACTCTTTCTGAGGCAGCCGGAACGTTCCCTGCTGGCAGCGGTCACTCCGTGCCTCTCTGCCACCACCCAGAGCCGCCCGGAAAGAGGAGCCACCCGGGGGCGGCGGGGAGCGGGGCCGCACCACACTCAGCCCTTTATTCTCCCGCTTGAGCTGATCTGCTTTCTGAGGAGCCGTGGATTCACTCAGAATCGCTTGATGAAATGTTTCAGGGAAAAAAGACGCCAAGATTCACTTCTGTGATTAGGGCTGGGCACTCCGATTTAGTGTATGGGCTCATTGACAAACCCACACCCGCACCCATACACACTCAGTTCATTCAACCACACCGCCCCCGCTCCCCACCCCGGTTTCTAAGGATGGCTGTGTTTCCTAAATTGTCCTGTCATCGCTGTCATTAGTGCAGAGAAAGGGCCCCCAGCTATTTTGCCTCTAAAATAGAACCACCATTCATGTAGCCTTCTGTCCCCTGGAATTACGCTGGGCTGGGCTGGGCTGGGCTGGGTGCTCCGCGTGGGGGGGCAGGCACTGGCTCCGTGGATGGGGGCTCTGAGCTCACTGCTGCGCGTCTTGGTGGGAGAGGCTGAAATAAATTAGAATTCCAACAACCAACCAGCTGCCGTGAGTCAGAACAGCACTTTGCTCCACAGGGTTTCCAGTGGCTGAGTTTTCAGAAGTTGATAGCCAGGACTTTCTTGCAAGGCACCCCTGGGCAGACTCAAACCTCCAACCTTTTGGTGAGCAAAAGCCCAAACCACACCCACTGATATGAAGTCCATTCCGACCCACAGCGCCCCTAGAGGACGGAGTGGAACTGCACCACAGGGTTTTCAACCTTGTCATCTTCACAGAAGCCAATTGCCACATCTTTCTCTGGTGGAGACACCGGCGGGTTCAAACTGCTGACCTTTTGGTTAGTAGCTGAGTATTTAACCCTCATGCCTCAGAACTACCATTTGACTCAGCAATTCCACTCCCACGCATCTGCCCAAGAGACCTGGAAGCAGCAATTCACACACTCTGTGGATGGGTGTTCACTGCAGCCAAAAGGTGGAAACAACCCACACTGGAGAAACACAGGTGGTCCCTCCTCACAGGGGAGCGTTTCTCAACCATAAAGAGAAGAAAGGAGCTGACACATGCTATGGTGTGGAGGAGTCTTGAACTTATGATGGCCTGACCGGCATCTTGATTGCAGCCTGGTGAGACCCTGAGTAGGGGGGCCCAGCCAAGCCAAGCCGGGCCTCCTGACCACGGAAACTGTGAGATGATACATGGGTGTGGCATCAAGCTGCTGGATTTGTGATAATTTGTTACACAGTACCAACAAGGCCGCACCCCTCCAGTGTCTACCTCTGCCTTTGAGTGATGTCTTCCCTGTGTGTTGTCCTGCCTCTTCTCTTACAAGCACCACTCAGATGGGATCAGGACCCACCTCACTCCAGTATGATGTCATGTTAACTTAGTTACATCTATAAAGACCCTATTTTTAAACAAGATCGTCTTCGCAGGGACTGGAGCTTAGGACTGCAATATATTTTTTGGGGCGACGCAGTTGAGCCAGGGAGGAGCTCTGTTGGTGCAGTGTGGAAGGCATTTGACTGCTAGCCAGAAGGTTGGCGGTGCAAACCCACCAGCCACTTGGTGGAAGGAATATGGGGCAATCTACTTCCGTAAAAGTTTACCGCCTCGAAAATCCAAAACGGGTCTCTGTGAGTCGAAATCGACTCGATGGCAGTGAGTTTGGTTTGGTTTTGGTTTCAGTTGGACCCGTAGCACTGTGTGAAGATCAGTTGCGGAGATCCTGGGTGCTCCCAGAGGTGAGGACAGTGCACTGGGTCCAACATCCTGAGCAAAACTCCCTCTGTGCACCAACAGCCCAAGAAGAACTCACGGGCAGTGTTTGCAGGGGTTCAGGGCTGTGGTCCGTACCGGGGTGACGCTGTCAGCGTGGCAACGCCAGAATGGCTATAAAATTTCTGGGCAGTGTTTCAGCAGAAATATATTATTTTTTAATAAAATCATCCCTGTAGTTATAAGAACCAAAACATTTTTCGTGATCCCAGCTTACACGCGTCAACACACTACAAGCCTAACACTCTGTGTTAATGGACTTTCTAATACGTGGCAGGCAGGGCTGTCGTTACCCAATTACAATGAAGCTTTGAATCACGTGGTTTTGTGCGCACGCGCCATAAGCACACGCCGATGTTTCCTTTTGTGCGCAGGCGCCACAGCATGTGGTGGTGTTTCCTTACTGCAGGTGCTGATTCTGCTAAATGTCCTGGGGCTTTAGCTACGACTCATGAGTGCTTGTGAAGCTGTATCAGTAATTTTTCTGAGAATGAAATAGTAATTAAAGGAAAACAAGAAATGGTATGCGAGAATGGTGACTCCGGAGCAATATTCAAACCGAAAAACCACACTCGCTGCCATGGAGCCCATTCCGACTCACAGTGACACCTGTGGGTTTCCGAGGTGGTGAATCTTTACGTAACTAGACTGCCCCGTCTTCCTTCCGCGGAGTGGCTGGTGGGTTTGAACCGCCAGCCTTCGGGTTAGCGGTCAAATGCCGAGGCACGGGGCCACCAGAGATCCTTCAGGAGCGGTATCAGTACAGAAGTATTACTGAGGGTTCTGTAGGGTCTGCAATGGAGGAGGTCCCTGGAGGGGTGGGAAGGTGACACCAACCCTAGTGACGACCCTGCCTGGGTCCATACGCACTTGCTGATTGTAATTTGGGCGAAAGTTTACAGAGCAAATTCACTTTCCATGCTGCAGCTCACATACACTTTGTCTCATGACATTAACTGCAATTTGCCACAATGCAACAGCTCCCCTTCCACTTCCTCTCCACAGCCCTGTGTCCTTCCCTTCCATGCACTCCTGCCCCCTGAGCTGTCTCTCTGTGCAGACTCAGCTCTTTCAGCTCATTCTTCTTGAATTAGGAACACAAGCCAGCCTTCAGCTACAAGAGAATAAGTTTCTGTTCTTCTTTTCCTCGTCATTTTTCCCTGGGAAGCACCTACGTAGACAAATCCAACCGGGACAGGCAGAATCCAAGGAGGAAAGAAAATTCATTTTAAGGAAACAAATTGAATAGACAGAGAGAGAGAGAGAGAGAGAGAGAGAAACAAAGACGGGCTGACATATGCCGGAGGAGATGTGAGAAGGACAGCTGGTGGGAAGTGACTGTGTCGTCCGGGAACCATATGGAACCCGTTTCAAATGTTTCCATACAGAAAGCTCTGGAAAGTGTGGGAGCCAGTGCCGCAAGCAGAGCCAGGACCGTCAGGAGCAGCCAGATGGGTGGCCGCCCGCCAGAGACACCGTGCCTCCCCTCGGGACCTCAGTAGGCCCTC